TATATGTATCATATATGAAAATTTTATTCTTTTAGTATCGAATATTATATCGTATTATAAGATACAGTAAAAAATTTTAAATTTAATTAAAAATAATATTTATATATATAATAAAAAATTAAAAAAAATTACATTTTTAACAGAATCAGAAAATATAGAGCATAAATTGAGAAAATGATCATTTTTTTAATTTAAACTTTCAACATATTCTTTATTAATATAGATTTTTAAATAAAATAGATATTTTTTATATTAATTTATTAATTAACAATTAAAAAACATTTATCATGTTGAATTAAAAGAGAATTTGATTTTTTTAGTATTTTTTTTAAATCTAAAGATTGAAACTCATAATAATAAAAAAATAAAATTTTTAATAATTAATTAGAATTAAGTTTATAAAATGCATATTAACTATATTGTACAATATACTTTTGATACCTAGTTAAATACGATGTAACTATATATGCATATCATTTTAAACTAATATCGTATCGTATCTTATGACACGCATCATGTATAGTATGATAATGATAATTATGTAGGGATCATAATGTGGCACCTAGTATCCATCTTCTATGAAAGACGCCTTTGAGTAAGAGCTCTACACAGAAAGTGATCATTAATGAGGTTCACATGGGCATCACCCATTGAAACCCTCACCAATCGAAAAATATACTACATCATATTTCCCATGGGAAAGTGCATTGTAGTAGTATGTGATTGCATTCCTCCTTCCAGTACCATACCAAACGCACATAAGATTTTCCTGATCAAAGGAAATACCTGTAGCTTTGTAGAGTAATTTTGTGGGAATCCTTTCCAAAGTCATAAGACACATTAAACTTTTGGAAGAACCATAAATTTTCAAATCAGGGGGAACCAAGCGACCCCGTCTCTTTGTTGTGGGTCTCTTGTAGAAGGTGAATTGCTTTTTTAACAGAGAATTTCCCTTTATTCTCCGCTTCCTAAATTAGGAGACCTTCTTTTATCACTGTCGAGAGAAACTCCATGAAGAGTAGTAAGTAGCTCTTGAAGGCTCTCTCTCTCCCACTCAAGGAGGGGTTGTCTAAAGTCAAAGTCCCACTCATCATTACCACATCACACCTCTTTGATTGTGGATTTCTTGTTACAAAAATTCAACTTTACAGAGATTTTAATTAAAAGCAATAGCTTGTAGAAGTTGTTCATACTTTGTTTCTTTATATATTTTATTTACCTAAACAGCTATATTATCTTCGAGAGAGAAAAAAGAAAGATTAAAGTATAAATCGATTGATTAATTAAAAATGATTATATAAATATCGATTTAAGTCTGTTGTCATGAATTATTCAATGACAGACTCATTGCAGCATTACAGTTACATCTCAACATGGACAATAAACTCTTAAACACCCAATGTTACCAACTAAAGAGTATACCCCTTTTTTGCAGAACTTGCAAACTATTCTCTTGTACTTCCCAGAATGAGCCATTTAACATTGTGCCTTATATAAAAATATGCTATTAATGAAGATGTTGATAATGCAATATGACTGAAGACTGAAGTGATTAATTCTTTAGATTTGAAATGAAATCCTTCCTGCAAATGCTGACTATTTTTGTTTCTTTTTCAGTTCATCTGGCTTGTTCAACACTTTTATTATAATTAACATAAACATAAATAAAGAAACCACTCATCTTTATACCAAATATGCAATTTCATTAAACTTGTCCTTAATTAGTAGAATTAATATATTTTGTGGTAAAAATATAAATAGTATTGTTAATGTGTTATGATGGAAGTAAGTTATGAAAATATAATCAAAATGTATAAAAGTATTAGTAAAATAAAAGAAACACTGTTGTCAGAAAGGCTTAACACAGATTTTAATCACTATGTTGCTAAGGTAGCTAAATGATCAGGCACTTTGGTATGTAAAAAAGTGTATCCAAGAGCACAAGAACAAAATGCTTTGAAAGTAAATTTCATTGTAAGGATCAAGAGCAAATTCTTTTGCTTTTCCAATCTTACCTTCTTTCAAGCAGTAATATATCTTTATGCATGTAAGCTTTTATATTTTAACAAAGAGTTTCATTGTGTCACCATGAAAATGATAACACACATGCATTAAATCATTAGCAGTTATTTTGTTAAAAAGATCAAAGAATTATAAAGTAACATTTGTGACAATTAAACAATAATATATCTAATTCTGGGAGATTCTCATGGGATTAAACGGACAAGTTGGATTTATATAAATTAATTACAGGCTGAACAAGGACTTGTGTCTGGATTTTGGGGACCATTTATTTCGGTAATAATGGTATCCTTGCTTTATGTGTATCAGTCAACCAGATCAGTTTGTGAAACTTTCCACTGTGTCATCTTGAGATGCCCACCACTGCTTGTTTAGAGTAAAAAAGAAGACTGTGTTGAGAAAGAAATACCAGAACCCTAAAAGTTTATCTCCCATCTCTTTCTCCCTGCAAACAAGCAGTGAATGTCTTCACTCTCTCTCTCTCTCTCTCTTAATTTGTGGGTTAAGGACAATTAAAAGCACTGGTTAAAATTACTTGAAAAAACAGAAGAGCCCTTCTGATAAATACTTTTATTTTTCATGATGACTCTTTCCTTATTGTTGTTTCTTCAGAAACACGTTGTATGTGAGGTTTTGAGAGCTTTCTCCTCTTCATATTTTACCTTTGTCCACTTTCAAAAGAGAATTAAAAAAAAAAAGAGAAAGAAAGAAAAGAAAGTGTAATTGCTGTTTAGCAGAACAGAAAATTGATTGAAAAAGGCAAAACTGTTTCCAATATTGCTATCCCAGATTGTTTTGGTTGCCTGGAAAGGGTAAGTCATAACTCATATTACCACAATTCAGAAGTACTTATCTTAAAACTTTTGAGAAAAATACGGTTCTTTGGTTTCTGTCTTTTCCATTTTCCTTTCTCTGTTCGTATATGTATCTATATATGTATGTAATATACAGATATTATATTTATTTACTGATATCAATCTGACAGTTGAGTGCTGCAGCCTCGTCTCAAAATCAATCAAAAGACTCTCATACATATATGCTTCCCTTAGTCAAAGAAAAACCAGAGAGGATAGTATTGGAGTGTCAAATTTTCCTGCGTGTTGGTGTATATTCTTTTTTAGTGGTAGAAACTAAAAGAATCCCAACTCATTTTTATCTTCTGATTTCTTTTCAATCATTGGATAGGAGGCAGGAATCGTATGGCCATGTAAGCTTTGCCAGGAAAGTTTTTGTCTATTAGCTTACTAACACTATATTTCAAGAAGTAAATTAAAGGCCAGATTGTAAGTAAAAACTCAAAAGTTGTCTTGTTTTCTTCCTAGTTTTGCTGTTTACTTTTCTTCCTCCTAAGGGCCAGAAACAAATTCTAAATCACCATTCAAAGACTGAAAAGTTGCTTTGCTTCATTCTTCTCTAGCCCTAGGGTTTCTATTTTGGACTGTCTTGGTGGATGCATTATTATGCACATATCATATCACAACCACTACAGGGGAAACTTTTGCAGATGGAAACTAGCCAGCTGCTTATTGCTTCAGCAAAGATCGCTACGTATAGAGAAAAAGCTTAGGAATTCAAACTGGGATCCACCTGCTCCACCCAGATGGTTCTATGACCTCATCGTTTGAATAAGCGAAAGGGTGAGTTTATTTTCTTCGTTTTGAATTTTTGTTTTTCTTTTCGAAGATAATGAGCAAACAAACTTGCCTACGGCACTGTTCCTTGTGTGAAGTAGTAAAGGTTGAAATTCTCCTTGAGGGTTTTTCCTCAACAGTTAGGTTTCAACACTTCAACTTGCCTCCATGCATATCTTTCCACAGAAAAGTTGTGGTCCTCTTTCTACTCCGTGGATGTTTTAAAGGAGATATATATAGAATGGTCCCTCCCCTATAAGGTAGTTCTTAATGTCTCAAGTTACTATCACACCACACAAAATTGACAATTCCATTAAGAGTATAGACCACAAGTTTTACGAAGCAGAAATCCAACAACTTTATCTTGGTAGATTTCTTTTTGTCTTGTAATCTTCTCTCATAACATTGACTATTAATGAAGCCCCTATTTCTATATCCTATTTGATTTCGAGATAATCTCTGTGTTTGGAGTGGTATGCTGCAAGTTTTGTTGTTTATAGCTTTGGATATAGGCATAGCAGTCTTATTAGTATCTTCATTAACTATGTGATAGCGACGCGACTTTACTTTATTGTTGTGAAGCATGGCCAAGTGTTTTTAATAACCTAACAAAGTCAGCAGCTTTGCCTGTACTATTGACACATTTTACCCTGAATTGCAAGAGATGGGAACAAAGCAATATAATCTAACAAATTGGGTATAGAAACTTTAGCCTGCTTCCAGTTTTTGGTCACATGAACATCTTCCTCAGTGCTAGGCGTGCAGTCATCGACCCATGTGATAGGGATTCAGTCACAAGGCCTTTTGTAGTTGTCGATAAAGCATGCCTCGTCACTTTTTAAAATGTGCAGCATGGTCCCCCATAGAGTTACATTAGGAATGAGAGGTTATTAACTTACTCAAAACCATGTGTTTCGCCTTGCCCGCAACTTGATGCCTGCCATATTCTTCCTCTTAGCAGAGGGGAGATTATTAAGACCCTAATGACTCATTCACGCAATGATTGCTTAATATGCGTGAGGGGAGGAAATGATAAGATATGGACTAGCACATTTATTTGACAGATGGCGAAATGTGCCACGTGGCAGCCCTACTGCCATTGCTTTTTCTTCAATTCTTCCATGGACTATGGTCGGTTCAATTCCGGCATCTTTCTTTTCTCAAATGGATCAACTTTGATCAATAAGTTTTATTCTCCTACGAGTAAAAGCAAGTTTTTTATCTTTCAGTATATATGCAAGTTGGTTGAGTCCACCACCAAAGTTTGAACTTCGAAGCTGCATTCACCGGCATAAACTCTGAAAATGTTTGATATCTATGTAAGTTCACTTCATTTGCAAATTTTCTGTATGATTTCTTTTCTTTTTCCAACTTTTACTATTCGAAAGAATCTGGTCTTTCTTCTTCTTCTTCTTCTGTATATAACCAGATCTCTATGACTTAGTACTAGGAGTACTACCTATAGATCTGCCTCACATCTTCATATTTTCTTGCTTTCTCTTCTCCACTGAAGCAACCAAGTTTGAGCTACCTTATCTTCTATATGATAAAAGGATATGAAATTTAGGGTTATACTTATATATACTGATCTAAATATTAACCTTTCAGAATTAGTAGCTACTGGCTTTCAGTCTTCTTCTCAAATCTCTCTCCTCTTTGTGCATAAGTGGTTAGTTCAATAAATTCCCCAACAATTTTTTCTCTTCACTTTTAAGAAATTTTCAGGAAGAATAATTGGGATCTGTTTTCTTTTAGCCTGAAGATTATATATTTTAGCAGCAGGTTTTTAACTTTCCAGTAATTGATCAATTTTCTGACTTTGTTGTTCTTTCTTTTCATGCAATTTTAAAGCAGATAGTTGTCAGGAACTACACGAAGCTTTTTGCAGCAAATTCTGCCTGAGAAATATAAAGGAAGATCCAGGTGATCTGCAGCTGAAAGGATTAATTCAACTGGTTTCAGCTGCTTAGGCTTCAATAATGAGAGACATAAGATGATTACAAGTTCAAAGGAAGCAGATTCTCCCACTAGACAAGAAGGCAACACAAATGATACCAAGGTCAATAAAGGTCCATCTAGTTCTTCGCCATGGTTAAGGTTGAAGGATCCACGAATTGTACGTGTTTCGCGTGCCTTTGGGGGTAAAGACAGGCATAGTAAAGTTTGCACCATAAGAGGATTGAGAGACAGAAGGGTGAGGCTTTCAGTACCTACTGCTATTCAATTGTATGATCTTCAAGATAGGCTTGGACTCAATCAGCCGAGCAAGGTTGTTGATTGGTTGCTTAATGCAGCTAAACATGAAATTGATGAACTCCCTCCACTCCCAGTACCACCAGGGAACTTTTCCCTTAACCATCAAATGGTTCTAAGTACTTCTCAAGAAGCTGGTGCTTCCCAATCCAACAAAGAAGGGATTAAAACTAGTAGTAGTGTTAATTGGGAAGATCCAGGTGGGTTATCAAGATCAAGCTTTTGGAGTTCTGACGCTTTTTGGAGGGCTAAATCCAAAGAAGCTGAAAGGGAAACAACCAATGAGAAAGACAATTGGAACAAAAGAAATGAAGAGGAGAAACAAGAAGGCAGTGAAGGTCATCATGGGGCACAAGTTTCATCTGATAGTCTCTTACAAAGAGCCAATCATTCTTCCTTGCCAGCATTGCTAAATAATGCAGTGCCATATGGTTCTTACTATCATTTTGAACCTTCAAATTTTCCTTTATCACATTTGGGAAGCCATGGATTTGGATCCCACGCAGAAGACCTCCATAACTTCAATGTTGTGCCCTTGCCATCCACATTGTCTCTATCATCTGGCTCTCAAATATTGGTATGTCCACCAGGAGCAACACAGCCTTTATTCCCTCCACATGCTACAGCTTCTCTAGAGATTGATCCTAGACAGCAAGTTAATCATTTTCAAATGCTTAGCTCAGGTGCACAGAACCTCTTGCCTAATTCTCTTAACCCTCCGCCATACGCAATAAGCCAATCTATCAGACCCTTCCATTTGAGTATGAATCCTAGGCTTCCCCATTCTCACAACAGCAGTGGAAGTCAGCCAGATAAGCAACAGGAGTTTCCTTCCAAATGACATGAAAGCAATGTGATGAGGAATTTCCTTTGGAAAAACGTTTGAAATAACGTGCATGACTCAAACCATTTTCCCTGAGGAGAGGGACAAAAAGGTACTGTTTGAATATCTATTTACATAAACTAAGGTATTCTATTTCCTGGAAGTGAGAAGCAGACAATTAAGTTATTTACGGGTATAACAATTACGGTTTTGTGTTTGATTTCATAACTTTGTTCCAATTGGGTGATTGGAGTTAAAATCAGATCTTCACAGATTTGAATGTCATGCCAAATAATTGATATATATTTTTACTAATAGTTTGATACTAGTGAGACAACATTGGAAAGTGTTCATGGTTCATAAGTTTTCTGCTGAATGACCGTAGTGCACCATATTGCCTAGAGCAATATCAATGAAATGCTATGAAATTATGATGCGTTGGTTCTGAAATTTGGTTATGTTGTACAACTACAACATGTCACAAACATCACAAAGCTGTGTTGAGAGAGTGACAGAGAATAAATAGTGATTATTTTCAGATTAAGTTCATTATTGGCAAATTTGTTAAGTTATATGCCATATAATCATCATCTGCGTCATTTTTACTTATAAAGAAACATTAATCCTTTGTGGTAATTAAACTTCTTAGATCATTCTCCCTCATTTTCTTCTTAGATGATGCATATAGCCAACTGCCCTATCTTCCACCGCCACCCCCCCCCCCCCCCCCCCCCTACACTTTCTTCTTGAAAAATGTAGATGCAGAAAAACTAACTACCATTTGCATGAACCAGGAGAGATTAGACGGTTAAAGCCGCTGCAAAGCAAAAAAAGAGAGAGGCATATACTATATATTAGCAAGCCAGCAGATGAAATATTTGAGGCAGTGGCAACTTTGCACAAGATCCAACAGGATAATGTCATGATGAAAGAAATAGCAGGTTGAAAATATAGGTTAGAAAAGGACCCACATTGAAAGTTTCATGAAATGAAAAGATAGTTTGTGGTCCTTAACACGGATATGAGAGAATGCATTGCAGGGAGAGAAGAAGAAAAGTTAAATGTATTCTTCTCAGAAGTTCATTGCCTGGTCCTTCATTCTTGGAAGAGAAAAAAGCCCCACAAGCCCGATATGGATAACAGCCCCCCAGCCTAAGCTTTCATCTGTCTGTCTGCCATAACCAACTGCCCCGCAGCTAATTAAAGCCAAAGCAAACTGTTTGATTGCTTTATACAACACAAAACTGTTGGATTGTAGATCAGCTTGGGCTTGCCACTATGCTGCTTATAGCTAGTTTTCTAGGGTTTTGTACTGTGAACAGGTTTAATCCTAGGGAAAGCTGCACCAGGCTTTACCTGGAGAAACCTTTGGCTAGATAGATTAATGCTTTTGCTATTAATGTTATTAAGAACATGGTATGGTTTCAAGCAGATTTGGGAATATATATTGGTCCTTAAGAAAAATTACTTTACAGGTTCTTTTTTTCCAATTAATGCATGTTATAGCCCAACGTAATTATGACCAGCCTGTTTTGCATGCAATATCTTGGATAATTTCTATCATTTGTTGGGGATATAATTAAAATTAATTTCGGGGCTTGTATGTTGTAATGTTCCTTCCTAAACATCTATACTGTATCCCAAGGGTCCTGGTAACTGCTGCTTATTTTCTTATTGACCTATATAAAGCCTCCTTTTTGCATTCATACTAATGTGTTTGACATTGATATATAAATGCCTACCAATCTAGGAACTCTTCTAGGGCTTTTTACTTGTAGCAGTCACATTTTTTATTAAACAAATTAAGTATCTGATACATATTGTTTCTTCACATTATTTATATTCAATTTTTTTTTCTTTTTCTTCATGAAAGAAATAAAATCAATTATAATTTTTGGTTAATTTGTGATATAGGGTGTTTATTCTACAATTGAAATTTTTTTTGCATGAAATATAGTGTATAATTAATATCCAAACAAGTAAACCGATCAAAAGAAATATCTGAAAAATTACTAATAAAATTTTAAGAACAATAGATAGCTTAAATAGATTTAAAAAAAAAAAACCTTGAAAGATCAGCTATTGTATATAAAATGGTATCTATGAATTTCTCTTTCGAATTTGGTTCATGTTGTACAACTTTTTCACTTGTTGATTTACATTTTTAATTAAGAGAAAATTTAAAAATTCATAAAATGGATAAAGTGCAAATTTGATATTTTTCTTTTTAATTGTTTAAATAAAATTAAATAAAAGGGCTTTTATGTATTGTTTGTTGTTTAATTTCTTTTTTTTTCATTTAATTTCGTCCAAAATTTCCTCACAATTAATGCAAATACAATTCTTTCATTTACATATGATCTAGGACTATGGCTCTCTTTGTTACATAGATATTTAATTTCAAAATTGACTTTCTTATTTTCTGATATTTGAATGATAAAAAAAATGCAATGGCCAACAGAAAAACATTAATTAACCCTAAACAAAAAAACGACTTATAAAGTTGGAAATTGTCTTCCATTTTACAAAAACTTAAGATAATTTCCAGATTAACCAATGCACAAAACAAATCCTCCCCAACTAAACTTGTTCATATCTAGACTTACCAGATTTCCAATCAAGCTTAGGACAGGAGTTTTTAGGTTTGGAGTCAAGTCGACCCAACACAAAATATTATTTATTTTAATTCAAAAAACATTTTTTTTATATTTATTAAGATTTTAATAATAAATATTACTATTTTAAATATCATATATAACAAAATATTTTTTAATATTAGAATAAAAATATTTTCATAATTATGAAAGTATTACTACTTTGACAAAAAAAATGCTAAAGAATAGAAAGTATTTTTGACAGAGAAAGCTAAATAATAGAAAAAATATATAAGGTTTTGAAGAAAACATTAGCATTTTAAGAAAATTATTATTTTAGAAGTTGATTTTGGTGATACAAGCAGATCCTACACAATAGATAGAGGATACTTATCTCTTATCACAATTTTTTTGTTCATGTAAACGCTTTCTACTTGTGAGTTTGGTAATACTTTCAACATCACCTCTTGTACATGTTAATAAGATACCCAAAAGAAATAATAAGCCCTTTTTCATGTTGAAAATATTTCATACTGTTAGTGCCTTAGGAGTACCTTTTTCTATTCATTATTTGTTTATTATAATCATAATTCAGGTCACCATTTTCCCATCATTTTAAAACTCTACCTACTGTTCCTTGTACCTTTAAATTAATAATATTTAGGATTTATAAACTTTGGATTTTTGTTTCATTAGGATATATATATATATATAGTCAAATTCATTATTAGTCCTTCAAGTCTTTGTACAATTTCATTTTCATTCGCACCCCAATTTTTTTCAACACAATCTTATAAATTTGTTTCAAATCCATCCATCCAAAATTAACTTATATACAGTTAAATTTTGAAATGAATTTATCGTATGAAAAATTTTACTTATATTTCATTTGACCAACTGATGAATTTGAAACAAAGTGGAAAAATTATAAATGAAAAGATGGAGAAGTAATAATGTAATTTACTTATTAGAGTAAATTAAAATTAAAAGAGCTAAAACCTAATGCAATCCCTAGCTGGCTCACTTCAATGGGCTAGATAGTCAGATTGGATCAGCCCAAAAACAAAGGAGATTAAAATAATGAATTGGATTTTTTTTTAATTGAAAAAAGAGAAATTTAAATCTTATTCTTAAGTAAGGGATCATGTATTTATTAATGAGCTAAATACTTGAGTGTTAGTGAATTGGATCATTTGGTTCAATGAATAATGCATATATCAATTTTACTCAAGAATGAAAAATGGCATTGCTCTCTTTTCACGTTAAGGTACCGAAGAATGAGAATGAGAATGTGCATTGTGCCTGCAAAACATTGGAGGCTGAAGGCATTACCATTATCCTCCGAAAGTAGCCAGCGCTATGCATCGGGCTTGTAAAATTTTTTAAATTCTTGGTGAAATAAATTTATTAGAGAAAAATTATATTTTTATATGAAGGGTTTGTATTATATTTCTTAGTAGATATACAAATACGATGAAAAGATATAGAAAAGCTGTTTATGAGGGTAAACAATCGAAATAGTAACTGATAAATGGAAAAAAAAAACAATTAATAACAGAAAAAGGTTATGGCATGATATTAACTGAGTTATACATCAGAAAATCAAAAATGAATGTTGCAGTAGTCTTTTTAAACTTATATGATCACTATGGCAAAACAAAAAAACTATGAGAGATTTTTGCTATGTTTACAAACAACACCATGAGAAAAAAGATGTCACATAGTATACAACAAAAAGTCAATTGCCAGCACTAAGTTGATATCTTCAGCAAAGGTTCCTGTGTACAAAATTAGTAGTGCAAAGTAATAAATAATGTTGTAATCATTTTATATATACATTGGTAAAGTAAGCAGTTTTAGACAACAGGAAAGAGAAAACCAGTTTCAAAGGCATAGAAAATTAATCCAATTTCAATGAAAATGAAGGAAAACCTTTTGAATGATTTCATCTAGGGAAGAGGAAACTTGGCATTAATCCAATTTGATCAAAAGCAACAGCTTCCTACTTTTACTGAGGTCAACGATGGTCTGCCATTGTGGTTAATTAGATATAGATTTTGGATTAATATAATTTTCATTAGCATTAAAAGAAGCAAAGTAGAAACATTACTTAGTATTTAACACTTGCATAGAAGAAGCACATAAGGACAGTTTAAACAAAGGATTCAAATGATATAAAATTCAAAAAATGAGAATAAAAAGAACTCTTAATAGAAATTTCATAATCTCCGAGGGCAACATTTGGCTGTGTAAGGTTGATCAAATTATTGATGGTATTCTTAAATAAAAGAATATATGTGGTAAATATAGATTTTAATAGAAAAATGGTAAATTAAGATGTAATAATGATTAAATAGAAATGCAAAAGGAATATAATCATTTGCATCAATTATGATTATTTGCATGTGAAATGCAATCAATCATGTTTAATTCAAAAAATAGAAAAAAAAACATTGTAAGATTTGTTATTCTCTACTTGCATGAATAATAGTCGTGCTATCATGAGATGGACTAAATTTCGGTTGGAGAAAATATCGTTCTCATCGCTACAAGAATGAAAGATCATGCACGCTTATCCATCTTCTTTAATGATCAATTGTTCTCTTAACGAATAGAATGATTCATTTTCAGTCAAAATTTGACCATCAATGACAATCCAAATTATTATTCTTGATTAGGAAGCATAAAAAAATCAATATTAATATTTTTTTATTATTATAGCAACAAAATAAAC